GTTTTTAACTGCTGGCTTATTTCCAAGGGAAAGCATGCAGAGGTTTTGTGTGCATCAATTCCCTATGATTTGGAAGGAGTTTCTCTCAATAGAGAATTTTAAGACAGTGTTGAAGTTATTGCTATGGCTAAACATTTTGCTCTTTATGAAGAAGCTTAGGGCAATATAGCAGCTCTACTAAATACTCATTTTAAAGAGAAATCTTAGACAGTTAAGTTTATTGAAATGATACCTACCATATTGGATTTTAACTTTTGAAAATGAGAGGTCTATAATGTTTACATTGATTTTGTTTTTTGCTACAAATTTTCTATGATTGTTTTATTTCTGTGATGTGCTTGCTCTCAAGAGATAAGAACTACAGTGAAGGGTTAGTCTAACTGGTGTATCTCTAACTCCTTATGAATCCCAAATAGCATACTTCTTTGTGGATAAATGTTCTACTTGGTGCAGTTTTGAGATTTTTGTTTGAGTGGCATGTTCTCTTGAGATACTAGTTTATTTTTAACGCAATTTTGTAAAGATGCAGTACTACTTTTCTCTTTTGTTAAAACGTTTTAAGAAGAAATGCTGCTGGAACCACAGATTTGCATGGAGGCTAAGAATTTGGGGAGGTTTAGTCATAAATTTTATTTGAGTACAGTAAAGTTAACGACACGTTTAATGACACATTAGTATTACTGTGAGTTAATTGGCTCCAAATCATAGTTATTACTAACAGTCATTTAGGTTTTTTTAGTTATTCAAATCAAAGTGTAAAATCTTCTATGATTAGTTATTATTTTGATGTTATGTTCAATTTAAATGTTATTTTACACATGTGCACTTGGGTGTACAGCACACCCAGAGGCAAGGCCTGATCTAGTTGATCAAACCTAGGATACCTCGTGACCTTTCTTCTTTCATAGTCTTGGTTCCCTGTTCTACCCTCTGTACCGGCACCTTCCTTTGTTCCTCTTGCAGTGTGTTCTCTTGTCTTCTTTCCTTCCTGTCCTTTCTTGACCCCAATTTCAAGGCTTCTTCACCACTGTTATCTTCTTAATTCTTATTCTTTGGCCTCTTGGTATGGTGGCAACCCCTAACTGACCTGGGAAATAGAGATATGAGGTCATCATCCTATGAGAATGGAGTTTGGAAAAGTCAGAATTGGATAGTGGTAAGCAGAGAAAGGACATGGTGAGCTGGTTCTGATCCTATGGCATATCGTGTTCTGTTGCTGAATAAAGGAAAACTTTAGGCTTAGAGAAGCAGAAAGAAGAGAGTGGGTGAAGAAGGGATATTTGGTCTTTATTGATGGAGGGATGGGGAAGCCAGAAGGTCTGACTGGTCAGTTTGCAAAGCTGTCTTCTCTACACTGTAGGTCCTTGAAGCAGGTGTCCAGCCTATGTGAATTGGTGGCATAGTATAATAATAATAATAATAATAATAATATAATAATAGTAGTAGTAGTAAGCATTTATTTTGCATTGTGAGGTATGTGCTATGCTGGGGTTTTATTTAATCTGCTCAAGAGCTCTGTGAGGCAGGTGAAATTGTAGTCCCCATTTCAAGGAGAGATAGATGAAGCTTAGAGAGGCCTAGTAAATTCATGTTACACAATCAAGAAATGGCAGAGCATGAATATGACCTCATGTTTGCCTCACTTCAAAGCCTCTGTACTGTTTTCTTACTTACTGTATGGACACAGGCAAGTAATTTAATCCCTTTGAAGCTCTCATTTTCCATCTATAATATAGACTAAACTACCTGCTAATGGCAAAAAAGGTACAGGGTCTCTTAAAGTTGCTTACTTATTGTTGGTGCTCAGTAAATAGTCCTAATTACTTTTTCTGGATCATTTCTTTCTCAGGACAGAAAAACACTATGTGAGAAGAGCTACTCTTTTTTTTTTTTTTTTTTTAATGTTTTATTTGTTTTCTGAGAGAGAGAGAGAGAGCAGGGGAAGGTCAGAGAGAGGGAGGGAGAGGGAGACACAGAATCCAAAGCAGGCTCCACGGCCTGGAGCCTGATGTGGGGCTCAAACTCAGGAACCATGAGATCATGACCTGATCTATGTAGTCAGACATTAACTGACTGAGCCACCCAGGAGCCCCGAAGAGCTACTCTTCTAAAATGACTGAAGAAAATTTATCTCTGGGTATTTCCTGGTGCCTTTTTCCCTTACACACACACACACACACTCTCTCTCTCTCTCTCTCTCTCTCTCTCTCTCCCCATTTGTTTACTAAAGACTGGACTTCCTTCTCAAGAGAAAACGTCATCCTAATTGCAGATAAAGATTAAAATGCATCCCTAGGGGTTTTAGACCAAGTGTAGGTGATCAATATTAGAGCCTTTCTTATCTAGGTTAATGGGGAGGCTCAATAATGATACCATTCTCTTGAAGAGCTTATAGTTGTCCTAGTTTACCTTCATTTCTGTGTCAGTAAACAGAAGCCCAGAGGTAGTTCCAACATGTGCAGCCATGTATGCTTGCAATTTAAGTGAGGCCACAAAGCACTGTTTTTAAAGAAGCATACAGCCTCAATTAAGTTTATGGAAAATTATGCAACAGTAATGAAAAATGCATCTCAGGATCAAAGGAGAAGCATTTGCTTATGATTAGTTTGATTTATGCTGAGCTTGACCCAGGAGCCTCCCACTACTGCTTCCTTCCTACACATTATACATTTATGAAATACACATATACTTATGGCTGTCATATAATATGTACAAGATTTACTGATGACAGAATGTTATTACTGTTTCAAACAAATGCAAGCTATTCAGACTTGCAAAAACAAAAAATGAACTATACAAATAATGAATGACCTTGTAGTTTTTCCTTAGCTGCTAACAATTCATTATAGTACTATATTCTACCCAATTAAGAAAGAAAAAAAAGATTTATCTTTCTAATGAATGGATGGTCTGGGGAAGTGGTTTTGGGGATAAATGGAGCTCATAGGAGTATTCAGTCAGGTGTCGTCTTTAATAAGACGTAAATTTGTTTCTATGTGCTGGGCCTTTCCCACTAAATACAACATTAGTTCAGGCTCTTCATGATCTTTAGTTTAAATTGTGTGATGAGAAGACCTGAGCAATGAATAATAAACATGGTTAGAGATTTAGAAAAGATGCTTATGTCAAAAATCCAAGATGACTAATATTACTGGCCCCCCAAAACTGTAGACAAAAAGGAATTTATTTGACAATTTAAATAATATGTGAGTTTGATAGGAGTTAAATTTTGATCTGTTTTGTTACTCTGGAAATTTTATTTCTTTAGTGTTAAACATAGTATAAATTTTTCTTACCCTTAAATATCTCAGCAGCTGTGAAAGGATTACTTTTGTTAGTGTAAAGAGGAAAACAAAATCATGATATACTGGGTATGTGATAGAGAACATTCCCTTTGAAGGGTTTAAAAATCTTTTTTTATACTTTGTATCTGTGAGATTTCATATATCTTTGCTCAAATAGGTATTTTTTCTTAATAATTTCAAGAACTATTTTGGTCACTTGATAGTTGTATTTTAAAATGAAATAAATTTCTAATTATGTAAAATTTTAGTTTTTCCTAATTTCACAGTGTAAACAAACCATCGCCAGTGTTAAGTAATAAATCTGTGGCATCCATTCATTCAGTATGTATTTTGTGAAGGCCTGTAGTGTGCCAGGCACCTGAGGAAACACAGACATGGGCCCTTCCTTGATGGATCCAACCTTCACTACTGTTTTCTTGATTTTAGATCCAGACATTTGTTCTCATGCACTAAGATTGGTCTGCCTTGATCATTATTTTTAAGGAAAGAGTTTGACAACTGATAGTAATCAAAACCTAGCCTAACTGAACATACAAATATCCATTGTATTTATTTCTTTGTTTCCAAATTTTGAATTGTAGCACTCAATTCATGTTTTGTTTGTTGAGGTATATAGTTTTTAAAAAGAAGTAATTTTAGCAAAATGTTCTCTAAAATATTTAGTTGTGGTTTTTTTTTAGTTTTTTAAAACTTGTGGTAATCATAACAGTAAACCATTTTTAAGTGTACAATTTATTTCATTAAGTGCAGTTACACTGTTGTTCAACCATCACCACTATCCATTTCCAGAATTTGTTCATTATTCCAAATAGAAACTGTATAAAATCTTTTAGTTTTAAGTATCTAGAGAATATTTCTTTATTTGTGCCAAGTCTCACCACCTGTCTTCCAACAACCCAGTATTCATTATGATCTACTTGTACTTAATGAATTCTGAGCTTGCCATTTGAATTAGAATGGTTACTTTTGATTTGTATTTGTTCCATGTTTCTAGGTAGTTATTAAAATTGCATCATCTTTCATTTTACTGTAATTTTATATTTGGTTTTTTGGAACAATGAAATATATATGAACTTCGAAGGAGATCAAACTGAGTAATGTGAACATGGAAAATTTAATAGAGAAGGGAAGAATAACTGGGGATTAAAGACTGTGGTACACAAAAAAGTCTGATAGTCTCAGACACTACTGGTTTCCTTCCCCTCCTACTAAATGCCTGGAGCAGGAAGCATATCTAGTGTAAAAGATATTTGGGTCTGATCTAAAAGAATTCAGTACCCCAGACACTGGATATGAATTGGACTCAACAAGAAGGATTGTTCGGTTAAATCTGCTGTCTGTGTTACTCTTTGTGCTCAAAAATACAGCTGTTTAAAGAGTTCTAAACATTATTTTTGAAAGAATTTAAATACCCTATTCACATTACAGATGCTAAAATGTCATTTGCTTGGCTACTTCTCTTCCTCATTCGTAACAATCACATGGTACTGTTACACAATAAAGAAATGGAGAAATTATCAGGGAACCTTTTTCAGAAAATTTAGCAAGTAAGAATTTAAGAAAATAGGAAAGTTATTTGTTGCCTGTTAATCAAGATAACTTTTTATTAATTTGTCTACAAGTATATAAATCTACTTTTCTTTTGATATAAGCAAAAGTATAATTTTCATCTGCATTTATTCTCTGTTTTTTAAGGAGTGACACTCCTAATGAAATCTATTCATTACAGCTAAAAGATGGAGGCAAAGCATCCCAGGCAAATGTAAGAATAGGCGATGTGGTTCTCACCATTGATGGAATAAGTGCACATGGAATGACTCATCTTGAAGCCCAGAACAAGATTAAGGGTTGTACAGGCTCTTTGAATATGACTCTGCAAAGGTAATTTGCATTTTTTTTTTTTTTTTTTAACCTCAGAGAGAGAACAATACTGAGGAATGTGTTTTTGTGTATCTGATTCATGGTATTAACTCAAGTTTCTACTACCACTGTTTCAAGTAGATAAATTAAAAAATGTAAAGGCTTTTAAATGCAATAATTGAACAGTATGAAAAATTGGTGAAAGCTTTGGATTATTTCCCCATAAAAAGACATATATTCATGTATTCATAAAAATTGTATATTCAGTTTTAGAAAATCTAAGATTTCCTAAAATTTCTCAGTAAAGTACAGGCTAAAAATTCTTATTATAGGGTAAAACTCTTGGCCTTAATATTCTGGGCAGTATATTAGAGGGTATTATTTCAAGATCTAGTTTGGCTTTTTCTTACCATGTCTTTTGCCCTTTTTTTCCTGGGTAGAAAAATAATTTTTTTATATACTCATTTGAAATGCAAATTTTCTGAACTTACTGTTTTGTTTTTTAAAGTTACTCTGGCTTTAGTTATAGCATAGCTAATCATCTCATTGATTATAATATATCAGGCATTTTGAGCATTTCAACATTTGACCTGCTGCCTTGAAATCATGTGGATTGCTTGCTAAAATCACAAAATCAGAACATCAGAAAGGACCAAGAATTATATTTTAATAAGCTGCCTATGATTATTATGAATTATAACATTAGGCTGAGGGGAAGGAAGGTGAAGGGGAGTGGGGAGAAGGTGACTGACTGATGGCTCTGAACCTTTAGGCTTATGGGGAAGGTGGGTATGGAGGGTTTTAAATAAGTCTCGTGTTTGATGATTACAGACATATTCTCTATTTCTGTAAAATCTGGAAGACACCATTTTCTTCCTTGAAACATCTCAGGCTTCCATAAATTATTGTGTATATTATAAATTTTTAAGAGGGGAATAACATGTGGTACCAAACATATTTGGCTATGGAACCGTTTTTCCTTGGAGTCTCTCCTGGGACTATTTAAAGGCTAGACACAGGCTAAATTTTATGTACTTGTCTGGAAGAGTATCAGTTTGGTCTTAAAACTGAATAGGAGAAATTTTTGTGAACTTAGACTTACAGATTTACTTTGATGTAACCATTCCTCCCCTCGCCCCTCCCCCCCCTTTTTTTTGGTGGGAGAAATTCATTTCAGTGGGACTATTTGGTCAAAGGTTATTCGTATTTAAATATCAATAGCTATTAGGTATATATTTTAATGCATATAAAGGAGTCAATGAGAAAAAATAACCTTGCTAAAAAGTTCTATTTCTGTAGTGTCCTTTCTGTTCTAGGTACTGAGACATATAACACAAAACTATTGTTACTAATTATATGAAAAGTAGCCATTTTTGTTTATAGTCATTTTTACTAAGTATGAATTTTGAAAGGATACCATGAAGCCAAGAAGATTAAATTGTCTGAGATATTAACTAAATAAAATAGAGATGATGATGGGTGTTTCTCAAATTCTAAAGTTGAAAGTTTATGTAGAGTGTAAGTTCTTTTCCTGGGCTGTGTATCCCTTCTTTCATATCAGCCTAATTATTTTCACATTACACTCCTTCTTATTTAATGACCCAGGACCCAGTGTCTTATTTTCTGTTGAAAATACTTCTGGGTCCCCTAAGAATAGATGAAAACCAGATGTTACCTTGTTTGGATGCATTTCCAATGTAAGTAATCTGTTACTGACCTTTAATAAAGATTCTCTTAAGCTACTTAACTATGAATTTAACGAGTTGTTATAAACATTTGGAGATGCGGCATAATCTTTATATTTGTGAGTATGGATATTCAGGGACCCAAAACATGAGAGAGAATTTGAGAGTCCTATTGTTATTTGTTGTAATTCTCAAGTTTTTGAATACTTCTTGTATTAGGCAGTGTCAACCTGAAAAGAGATTTACATTTAAGAGAATTTATGGTTTAACATTGACATAACTACTGAAGAAATATTTTTTTTGCCTTTCAAGGAAAAAATAAAACTTTGAAGAGTTAGTTTCAATTCTTCCCTATACATACACCAGTCCCTTCTTAAGTTCTTGCTTCTCTCAAAGCAAATAAATAGTTTTCCTTCCACTTATTTCTGAATCTGACAACAGCATCCTTTTTATTATTTATTTATTTTTGAGAGACAGAGCACAGGCAGGGGCAGAGAGAGAGGGAGACACAGAATCCAAAGCAGGCTCCAGGCTCTGAGCTGTCAGCACAGAGCCTGATGCTGGGCTCGAACCCACTAACTGTGAGATCATGACCTGAACCGAAGTTAGATGCTTAACCTACTGAGCCACCTAAAAAAGTTTTTTTATTTATTTTGAGACAGAGAGAGAGAGAGAGAGCACGCACACAAGTGAGGGAGGGGCAGAGAGAGGGAAAGAGAATCCCAAGTAGGCCCTGTGCTGTCGGTGCAGAGCCCGATGTGGGGCTTGATCTCACGCAAGAGAGAGATCTTGGTGAGATCTTGACCTGAGCTGAAATTCAGAGTCAGATGCTTAACCAACTGAGCCATTTAGGCACACTGACATGAGCATCCTTAATTGGCCTCCAGTCACCTTACCTTCTTTATTCTATCTATCACCAACCAGACTGCTTTGTATTCTCCTTCCAAACTGAATGACCTACAACAGTATTTGTCCTGTGTAACTCTTTTCTTCATAAACATGGACTTTGCGGGGCACCTGGGTGGCGCAGTCGGTTAAGCGTCCGACTTCAGCCAGGTCACGATCTCACGGTCCGTGAGTTCAAGCCCCGCGTCAGGCTCTGGGCTGATGGCTCAGAGCCTGGAGCCTGTTTCCCATTCTGTGTCTCCCTCTCTCTCTGCCCCTCCCCCGTTCATGCTCTGTCTCTCTCTGTCCCAAAAAAATAAATAAACGTTAAAAAAAAAATTAAAAAAAAAAAAAAACATGGACTTTGCTTTGTGAGTATGTAGTACTTCCCTTTATACACTTTTCTTAATCCAGTTTTCCTTGAAGCAGAACCTGAGGTGGAATTCCTGTACAAGTAATATATCAAGAAAGGTTTTTGAAATGTTACAACAGAGTGAGTAAAGCAGAATTGGGAAGAAGAGGAAACTGAGATGAGCAAATAATGTGGTTTCAGGGGTTATCTAGCCTTAGCTTGATCCGGGAGGGAGCTGGGGGACAAAATCGTACTATAGAGGATGTCTTGCCCTGAGGCAAGGGAATTGGGCTTTTGTCTCCCTTCCCTTGCATTTGTTAGACATTGGCCACCAGTTGTTGAGGAAATGTGTATGTGTGTGGATGTGTGTGCAAAGTGCATGCAGGGGAGGGGTAGGAAGTAGTTTCTCGTTTGCACAGAAAGTGGCTGGTGTGAACCATTAGCATTTCCTTAGTTGCTGTACCAAGTTGGTAGAAGGGTTCCAGAGGACCCAGTCTGGATACAGCACTTGCTATGAGATTCCTTCTAGACTTGAGTCCTCTTGCTCAGAGGATTAGGCTCTCTATGATCTAGACTCAGATTGTCCTCCCCAGATCATCACAACTCATCAGTGAATGCCATCATTTTATTTAGTTCCTTACTGTCCTTCACCTCCCTGGCTGCCCTCTCATGAAATTCACTTTATCAGGGATGCCTACCGACCTACATGCCAGCTCATGTCTCTGCATCCACAAAGCCCACATCAGACTTCATCTACCCATAGTCTTTTCTTTGCAACTCATTCATTTTTTTTTTCCTGTCTGAATGCCGATGACCAGTTTCTACCATTTGATTCAGCATTTAATTATATACTAGGTATAACCAGGAATAACAAGGCACATTCCATGAGTCATACAAATAAATCTAATTAGTTAATAGTTGTACCTAATACTGTCTATATAATTAACTAATTACTCCATGTATATATTAGTTCTGCTTCTCCAGCTAGACTCCTTGAAAGCAAAGACCATGGTTTTTGCACTATTTGTGTTTAACAGAATCTTGAATAGTTTTGTGTTCTTAATCTCTAATTAATATTTGATGGATACCAGCATTAACTCCCAAACTGGGAATCGTTTGCTTATTCCACAAATAGTTTTGAGCTTTTACTATGTGCCAAGCATTGTTATAGATGCTGGGGACATGCAGTGAACGAAACAGACAAAAATCTCTGCTCTTACAGTGCTGACCTTTGAGTGAGCAGATAGACAATAAACAAGTAAGTAAAAGCATGTATTATATTACATGGTGATAAGTGTTATGGGGACAAACAAAGCACGTAAGGGAGATAGGGAATGCAGGGGTAAGGAATTGCAAGTTAAAATAGAGTGGTTAGGAAAGCTTCGGTGAGGTTATTGGATATTTGGGTCATGAGTATCCCAGGCAGAGGAAAGAGGTGGTGCAATGGCCCTGCCTGGGAGGCCAGATTGCCTGGAGCACAGTGAGTGAAGAAGGTAGACTGGTAAGAGGTAACATCAGAGAGGCAGCAGGAAGTGGCTTGAGATGGGACAGAACTCGTAGAGCCTTGTGGGTCACTGTAATGTTTGTAATCAAATTTAAGTTTTCCTGGACCTAAAAAAAAATTGTGAGAAAGCCCTGAAGAGTTTTGGTGGTTGGCCAGACCTACCAGCAAGGTTTGGGAAATGACTTCATTATTGGAAGCAGGGGCTAGACAGAGGAGAGAGCAAGCTTCTCCCCAAGTCCCCTCAGTGGCTGTGCTGCCTTTTCCTTCTAGCGCTGGAAACACTGGATGGTTGCCACTTCTGTGGAGTTCTGCTCACCTCCACCCAAGAATCCCCAGGGGGAGAATATAAGAGAAAAGCCATTTTTGTTTTTGAAATTAAAGTTACCAGGAATCTTGTTTTGTGAAATTTTTTTGCATGAAGTACTAATATGTATCTATTTATTAAATAAATATATAGTATATATATTTGATTTATCTTTTCTTTATGCCCAACCTCAGTATCCTAAAATAGGATTTAGATAAGAAAAAGTAAGATAAAGATACTTGTTTATGATTAAGGTTATTTTGTAACTTTTTTCTATCTAGTCTAATTTTG